ACCACCACCACAACCACCAACACCATCACCATCAGCAGCAGCAGCAGCAGCAGCAGCAGCAGCAGCAGCAGGAGCAGCAGCAGCAGGAGCATAAACCTGACCAGAAAGCGAGTTCATGTAGCAGTATACCGAATGCCCAAGCATCGCTGCAGAAGTGCTGCCCCCTTCTTAGTAGGGTTTCTGGGGGCATGTATTCACTGGTGCCGCAGAGTGTACATGTTCTCTCTTGTTTATTTTTTTCTTTTTCTATTTTTTCTATTCTCTCTATCTTTTCTTCTTTCTCTATTATACAACCAGATACACATACACCGCAACATACACCTGATGATATGCATCCACAACCCACAACACCCCCAGACATATCCACTCCTAATACACTACCCCCTCCTCCTGCTGCTGCTGCTGCTGCTCCTGCTGCTGCTGCTGCTGCTGATGATGATGATGATGATTGAGGGCCGGGTGTTGCTGCTGCTGCTGATGGTGGTGGTGGTGGTTGTTGTGTTGCTGCTGCTGCTGATCCTGATGCTGCAGCGTCAGAACTACTGACGGCTTCCCCTGCCGTACGTGCTGCTGCTGCTGCTGCTGCTGCTGCGCCTATTGCTGCTGCAACAGCAGCAGATGCTGCTGCTGCTGTTGCTGCTGTTGCTGCAGGCTGCGCTGCAGAGGAGGCCTCAACGTCCCTCGGGTGCGCCAGGGACAGGTCTCTGTCTCCCCCTGCAGCAGAGAGGAGACAGCAGCAGCAGCAGCAGCAGGCAGCAGCAGCAGCAGACAGCAGCAGCAGCAGACAGCAGCAGCAGACAGCAGCAGAAGGCAGCAATAAACATTAGCAGCAGCAGAGAGTAACAAACAGCAGCACCAACAGAGAGCAGCAACAGCAACGAACAGCAACAGCAGCAAGCAGCAGCAGCAGCAGCAACAAACAGCAGCAGACGGCAGCAGCAGACAGCAGCAGCAGCAGCAGCAGCAGCAGCAGCAGCAGCAGACAAGGTAAATATCTCTCTGGTAGGAGCTGGACGTACACTGCAAATGCCCCTGCCACTTCTGCTGCAGTTCTTGCTGCTGCTGCTGCTGCTGCTGCTGTTGCTGCTGCTGCTGCTGCTGCTGCTGCAGCTGGGGACTCACTGTCTTTGTCTTCTGGGTGTATCAGTGCTGCTGTGTGGTGGGTGGTGTGGGGTGCTGTCTCCTTTGGGCCTGCAGCAGAAGAGAGACAGTTGCTGCTGCTGCTGCTGCTGCTGCTGCTGCTGCTGCTGCTGCTTTTTCTGTCTCCTTTTGTGTTTTTTTTAGTGGCTGTCTCCTCCTTGTCTTTATATTAATATGTTGTTTTTGTTTTATTTATTTTTTTATTTTTATTTTGTCTCTTTGTGTTGCTTGGGGTCTCTGCTCTGCTTCTTTTTCTGTCTCTCTCGCTCTCTATCTATC